TTTTAAAAGTGGTTCTTAGCTGAGAGCTTGGTTTTGGAAGAACTTGTTGATCAGTTTCCCACAGACTGCGCCAGTGCTGAGGTTTATTCCCTTCAACTCGTAGGCCCAACACACAACCTAAGGGTTTCGAGTGGGTAGTTTAGGAGAATAAGGTCAAACAAGTAAGATGAGACCCAATAAGAAGTCTTGGTTGAATTCCACTGTTACAAGGCGTGAGATTGTTCGTACTTACAAGGCGTGAGGTCGTTCGTACAGATGTTGTGCTACGAGATAATAAGAATGCTATAATGCTAGAGTGCTAAGTTTTCACTCTTTACAATGAAATAAATGCTTCTATTTATACTGCCCGATGGTAGTTGAGCATGCTGATGTGGTGGGTTGTGGTTCGCTTGGATCCTAACCACCAAATCTCTATATGAAATGGCTTCCCAACCATCATATCTCTGCATTAAATGCTCTTCCGTCCAGAACCTTGGATTCCCGCCAGAGGTTGGGGACGAGCGTCCCCAAGAATTGGGCTGTGGTTGGCTCTGATCCCAACCACCAAACCTCTGTATGAAATGACTTCCCAACCACCATATCTCTGCATTAAATGTGCTTCCCGATAGGATCTTGGCTCCTGCCAAGGGGTGGGGACGTTCGTCCCCATGAGCATGCCTCCTGTTTCCTGTTGGGTCCAATGTCCTGCGAGACGTGCGTCAGGCGCTGCTCCTGGGTCAGAGCATCTACCTTTGGACACGTACGTCTTGTAATTGAGCCTTACTGGCCTGTTGAGGGTGTATGTCCCCCGACGTAGGGGGAAAGAATCTCCCGTTGTTCCAAGTCCTTGGAGACGTTCTCAACACTCAACAGAACATGCTATCAAGTGTTGTTCCAACCATCTCCACAGAACAGTTTGTTTTGGACTGACCATTTGACCCTCCCAACAGACAGATTTGGGACCAAAAGTCAGGGCCTCATGATTTATTAGATATTGATGATGATAGAGTCTGAATCCAAGCGATCAATCAATCTGCTCTTTTGCTGCTGCTGGTGATTGTCCACGTGGGTCAAAGTGTCCTTATATTCATGGAGATTTGTGGCAAACATAAGGTGAAACTAAAGTGATTGTGAAAAATATAAGGTGAATATTGCATAATAATCTCAGGTATATGTCTCAAGCAACTCAAATTTCACCCACATGCCACAAATCTATACAGCTTGGATATGACTTGCTGGCTTTTGTAAGAGTGAACCGGCCCGAAACCGGACCGGCCCGCTACTGTGCGGGCCCGGACCGGCCCGGTGAACCGGTTGGTTGGCCGGTTCAGGCCACCCGGCCCGGTGGGATCTCGGTTCGGGTTCGGGCCCTTCAAAAGGTGAACCGGCCCGGCCGGTTCGGGCCCGGGCCGGGCCATTTTTTTTTGAATTTTTTTTAAGTTTTTGGGTTGGGCTGGGTATTTTGGGCCATTTGAGGTGGTTAGGGTTGGTTTGGGGGTGAGGGGAAGGGTTGGGGGTTAACTAGGAAAAGCCAAAAAAAAATAGAACCGAGGCCCGGCCCGGACCCGGGGGTTACCCGGGCCGGTTCCGGGCCTCCCATACCTTGAACCGAGGCCCGGCCGGTTCAAGGCCCGAACCAGGCCTGGCCCGAACCGAGTCCATCCATAGTGCTAGGCATTATAATGGGAGTGGACAATACTTTTGTTTGAGAACAGTATTTACTTGTGATGGTTGGATGTATACACACTCCGGACATGAACCAAATTACTACAGAGTTTGGCTAATTTTGATTGGTATGTGAATATAAAGTAAAAACTGCGTGATATAGATTTTAAAGTGGAATATAATTGATTTTAATCACCGATTTCCTACTTTAAATGAAATTGACAAACTTTTTTTAGAATAATAGATAAACAAATTTGGTAAAGTTTTGCCTGACCCAAGGAGTGTATGTCATTTTATTTGATTGGGTTGAGATTAGAATCTGTGGCTATCACTTTGGGTTCACTAATTTTTAATCAGTGAGAATTTTTATGGATGATAAAAAGAAACTTAAGACAAAGTTAAGATATTAGATATGCATAGTAACTGTGTGTATGGATTAAATGAGGATGAGCTCTATGATTATATCAGTGGGATGAAATTAGTGTGTAACGTTTGAGAATTGTGTATGACTTTACATATAATATTAAACTTTTTTAGTGTCATGAAATCATTATCTTAATCACAAATGTGTGCTAGTGATGTAGTATGAATTGCACAATTCTGAATCATTCTCACAAGATTTGATGAGGCACAGCAAATAGGATTATCAACGCAAATACACACATTCAAACATGATTATTTAGTCAATTTTTAGTTTTTTTGAAAACAAAAATTGATTAAATTAATCAAACAACTAAAATTTGTACTCCCTCCGTTCCCAAAAATACTTCCCACTTTCCTTTTTGGGCTGTTCCTAAAAATACTTCCCATTTTCTCATTTTGGACAATTTGTGTGGCTCACATCCATTTTACCTTTTTCTTACACAACCACACTCATACATTTCCACTTTATTCCACTTTCTTAATAAGCGTGCCAAGTCAAACCGGGAAGAATTTTTAGGAACGAGTTGACCCCAAAAAGTGAAATTGGAAATGCTAAAGGAAGCAACATTTATGTTTCTAAAATGGTACACGTATTGTTGCGGGCAAATTTTGTACACGTTTTATAGGCACGGTGGAAATGCTAAAGGAAGCAACATCTATGATTGTTAGTCATATTTGTGTAAATAAATTGAAAGAATGACAACAATAATACTCTCAGCTTCTCCTTGGACAAAAATAAAAACAAATCCAAAATTAGACAAAAAAAACTCACTAATTATTGATAAATGGACCCCTATGCCCTTAATCCTATCAACTCTTCCGTTTCTTTTTGGCCAATCGCACAACATCTACTCATCTCCATCATCGTTCGTTTCTTCTTCAGCAATGGGGTCACCGCCGCTGCCGTCTCTAAGCTGACGCCACGCCCCTCCACCTTCATCTCCGACCCTACCTTCATTTTAATCTTCTCTTCTTCTATTCCCTTTGTCCAATCGCGGCCTACCTAGGATTTGCGGCTATGGCGAAGACACAGCCGTGTGACTAGGGCTTCGATGCAGCGGCGCGAATCGGGCCAAGGAGAGCCGGGTAGGGCGCGATGTGGCTAGGGCGGCAAGGCAGAGGTTCATTTCGCTGCTTTTCTCCGTCGTTGGCCCATTGCAAGTGTGCGAGGAGCAGGAGCAGGGTGTGGGGTGGGGGTGCATGGTTTTGGGAGGGAGATGGGGCTCGGAAGGGCTGGGAGGGGGGTGGGGAAGTTGGTGGATCAGATCAGGGAATATGGCTGGGGCTGGGGATGGTGGTGGTCGCCGGCAGTGGCCCGAGGTGGTGGTCGGAGGTGGTGATCGGTTGTTGTCGTTAAATATAAATAGTCAAATTTGGTAAGCGTAATTAGTGGGTTGGGTAAGTGGTAACTGTTATTGACCAATTGTGTAACTGTAACTGACGGATCGAGTAACTGTAATTGAATGATAAAGTATTGCAATTGATGGATTTAACTGACGGGCTGAGTAACTGTAACTGATGAGTCAGGTAACTGTAACTGACGGGTCATGTAAGTGTATCTGATCGAGTAATTGCGATAGTAACTGAGATATCAGCCACTTAGGCGGCAGTAACTGAGATGGTGGTCACTAAGACCATGGTCATTGGAGTGATGGTAACTGGGACGACAGTCACTTAAGTAGTGGTAACTGAGACGATTGTCACCGGAGCGGTAATAATAAGAGCGGTAAAATCCGCGATGGTGGTCACTGAAAGGATAGTAATTGAAATGATAGTCACTAGAGCACTAGTAATTGGGACTAATTTTTTAGGACTTTTAGAGCTTTAGTGCAATATTTAAATATTTATTTTGAGATATATGTATTATAATATTAAAGAAAAAGAAAAATTAAATGTTAGTGTACGTGTCCAAGGTAGAGGCTTAAAGTCGTGAAGGGGTACATAGTGGGCCGGTGGTGCAACTGTGCAAGAGACTCCAATGTTAAGGAGCAAAGATATGCACGCATAACATTCACGGTTAAACGGACGGGAAGGGTAATTTAGGAAAGTAGAAGTTTATTAGTCACATTTTTGGAATTTTAAAAAAGAGGTCTCTTTGTTGTCCATTACCATTTCTTAAGTAATATTCATGTCAAAACCCCAAATAAATTTTATTTTTTATTTTAGTACTATCTTCGTTCAATTTTTTTTTTTGCCATTTTATAAAATTTGACCCATAATTTTGATTGATATAATGTTATGAAAGTTATAATTTTTTATGAAAGTTTTAACAAAGAACATTTTCATATAATTTTTTTAGTATAAGTAATTTCTAATAAAAATATATAGTTAGCCAAATTTATGAAAATGACAATTTTTTTAGAAAAATCCGATAAATATTGGAAGTATTAGTTAAATTATTAATTAAAATGTATTTTAAATTATTGTTACATGTTACTACTAATAATTAAAGAAAACAGAACACACATCTTGGTCCAAAAGGTGGAATCTCCCACCTCAGAAGTCCTCACCCCGATCCGACAGCATGATGTAGAGATTAATCACGGTAAATCAATCTGCAAAACGACTATAGATCTTATACGCGTGCACACCAAATATCCAAACTTACCCGCCTGAGTGGCCCGAGTCGTGCGACTTCTGTATTCTCTTTTTTTCTTTCCCATTTTCGTCTCCGTTTTTATGTTGAGGCCGTCTGTTTCGGACCAGTGGCCCCTACTGAACAACGGATAAGAGTTAGCCTTAAAAGTAGTGAAAATAATGGTCACTCTCATTCCCCCTTTCCTATTTCTTTTCCCTCGTCATATATTGTCCTATTCGAAGCTTGTATGGATCGTCATCATTGTGAACAGAATCATACTGCGAGTCGCTTTCCTGCAAACCAACAAATTCCCGTGTTCGAATACTCCTCACCAGCTAGAGATAGAGCGAGTGAGCGAAAGCAAAGATGCAGGTAATGAAGGAAAGTGAGGACTGGAGTCAGGTCTCGACTCCTCGTAGCCCGGAGGCCAAATTGGGGATGCAGGTGGAGGATCTGTGGGACGTTCAGGAGCCGCAACTCAGCCCTACGGAGAAGCTCAATGCTTGTTTTGAGAGCATCCCCGTCTCCGACTTCCCTCCCGCCGCTCCTAATCAAGGTATTGTTCTGGTTGTTCTACGTCCTTTTCCCGTTCATTTCTGCACTGATCATTCGGTGTATGATGCCGATGGAAATTTGAATTGCTTAGTGCCTTGGTTGCTTTATCATACGCGGTTTTGATGCTAAGCTGTTTGCGATTATGGCCTGCGTGTAGTGATTGAGATTAAATCGGATGCAAGTTTGGGGGAAGCTGTGAAGCTGCTATCACAAAACAAACTGTTAGGTGCGCCTGTTGTAGATGTCGATGCTCCTGAAGATGCTAGTTGGATCGACAGATATATTGGCATCGTGGAGTTCGCCGGAATTGTGGTCTGGATTCTGCATCAGGTATACATGTGGATCCGCAAATGAATATACTGTGTGTCCCGTTTGTGATTAGAGTGACTGTAATTTCATCCACCCATACAATTCTATTCCTGATGTCTATCGATTGGTTGTGGTCCTGTGGAAGCAAATAAGAAATACTACATTACTGTCTGCTATAAGTAGACTAATCTATGTACGATATATGCTAGGGAGTATAATAAAGAGCTCTCTTTGTCCATGCTACAAATTTTGTTGAGTTAATTGTCCAACAGTTGTCTTAATTAGTTATCTGAAAAAGTAAAGATCTGCCAGTAATCACAAAAATATATGATCAGTATCACAATGTGCATCACTTAAATGTTTTGGCTATAAATATATATTATAAAAATATATATATATAATCTCGTCAACATCTATATATGTAAACTGTTTTTCTAAAGAAATCTTGTTTTATATATACTACATACTTCCTCCGTCTCTTTTTAGTTGCAACATTCCCTTTTTCACGTTTGCCAACGCACAACTTTGACCGTCATTATATTTAATTCCGTATTAGTAAAAATAAAATAAAAATCATATTATAAAACTTAGTAATGAGACGAATTTAACAAACATATATTAAGAAATAAAATGTAGTCAAAGTGGAGTACATGAATAGTGTATATATTCCAATGTTGCAACTAATGCGATACGGAGGATAGTATATATTTTCTAATTTAGTACATATGAAACAAAATCTACATCCTCAAATTCAAGCTTTCTTTAGAAAGTTTCCTTGTTTCAATAGTAATAAGAATGCGAACTGTGCCTCATATTGTTCTTTCTTTAGAAGATCATGACTGTTTGTTTCTTTTGCAGACAGAAAAGATGGAAGGGTCATCAATTTGGGATGAAGCAAGTGCTGCATTGGATGATAAATTTGGTCCTGCTGTTGCTGCTGCTGCTAACGGAATGTGTTCTCCCAGATTCAAGAGCTTGCACCCTGAGTCTCCTACAGCAACTTCCGGGAATTTTTTTGAGGCTCTGACTTCTTCTGACCTATATAAGAACACAAAGGTTACTACTTGCTGTTTTCAACCTTCCATTAATTCTTCGTATGACTTTACCACATACTCTTTGGGTGCATATTTAACTGCTTAAAATGGCCAATGTAACCCAATGTTTCATGTTATGTTTTATATGTTCATATATGAAATCTTTGCATGTCGAATAGATTTTCTTCCCAAATTACTCCCTGGTAGACCTCACTTATCCTCTTTCCCGAGAGGAACACAAATGAGAGGTTGGTTTATACCACGTATATAATAAGAATGTTTTAGGTAGAGTATTAAATGTCTTGATCAATCTATTCTTACCCCAATCCGTTTATTAAAATATGCGATTTAGTCAGGCAAGTTAGTTAAATAGGAAGGCATGAAGCTCATCATTTTGAGGGCTTCCCTAAACTTTTTCATTAAAAAATTCACACGTTATTCCAATTTGCAGGTTCGAGATATTTCTGGGTCATTCCGATGGGCCCCGTTCCTGGCCTTGCAAAGTTCCAACTCCTTCCTGACAATGCTTCTACTGTTGTCTAAATATAGAATGAAGAGTGTTCCCGTGGTTAATTTAGGGGAAGGAAAGATCGATAACATCATAACTCAATCTTCTGTCTTGCACATGCTTGAAGAATGTGCTGGTCTCCATTGGTTCGAGAGCTGGGGTTCAAAAAAACTATCTGAACTTGGTCTCCCTGTGATGAAGGCTCATCATATTATTAAGGTATGAAGCACCTAGCCTTGAGTCAAACTGGATATCAAATTGAGGTGTGAGTAATTAAAGTTAGTACGAGTGGTTATGGTCTTAGGCTGGGATATACTTCTTGTGATGCCACCGTTGATGCCTGCTAATGTATAATGGTTGTCCCGTTTATGACTAACAGTCTGTTTGGTAGGCTTCACTTATAAGCCTTATTTACCAGTTTTTCCACTAAACACCAACTTTTTTCAGGGTTGTCTCAACCAGTTAAACGTGAAAAAAAGTAGTGTGTGAATTACATTTTTTGCTAAAATGAATACTTTAGCTTTATTGATAGATATTTTTTCCTTTAATTTATATATTTTCAAATGAATTGTTTAGAGGATTCGCCACATCAACCACCACTCAAGCAGCAGGTGTACACATTTTAACTGGCTGTGTCACACTTTTGCTCTGCACAGGAGTTAAGAAAAACATGAGGAAATTGAGTTTAAGATAAGATTAATATAAATAGTCAGTGTTGTCCTTCTATTAAATAACAATACCTTTGTGTAACTTTTATTCTGACAAGGAACAACAGTCTTTTCATTTTTTTATTCCCAGTGCTTTTTAGGTCGACCCTTACCACCACTATCCTACTTATTGCAGGTTAACGAGGATGAACCAGTTCTGCAGGCATTCAAGCTAATGAGACAAAAAGGTGTGGGTGGACTACCGGTGGTTGAAAGTGGCGGGAGCAAAGCAATTGGTAATATAAGCATCAGAGATATTCAGTTCCTTCTTATTGCACCTGAAATCTATAAGGACTACAGGTACGTCCAACTTCTGGTTAAAACGATGATACCAGTCAAATATTTACAGCATTGTTATAAAAATCCTTGCCTAGCCCTGAGTGTTTACATATACGAAGTATTAGTTATTTGTAAAATGACACTTTTAGTTCCGAGTTATAACATTGGTAGTTTGGTACACTTAACGTCACTATTTTCGGTCCATTTTTTATGATTTGGCTATTTGGTCCGTTTTTAAGAGTGTATGTTTTCTTTTAGGATGTTTTTATTAGGACTGGTTTCAGACCAGATTAAACTAGACCTAAACAAATCAGATTAGGCTTCTAACCAGACCAGACTTCGATAGTTGTAAAATACACATAGACCAGACATCTTTCATACTAGACTAGATTTAAACAAACAAGATTATTTCAGACTAGACCGTAAATTTTCATTCCAATTAAAAACGTCCTTAGTTTTTAGGTTTCCTATTTTTCCAGAAAAATAGGACTGAAATGTTCATGCCAGCCTTTACAGGAACTAAATACACTTTCTCTCTTGGTTTTTTAACAGGAGGATAGTATGTTGTCCAACCACACATTTAATATTTATATTATTGTACAAGAACACTTATATCTCTGTTTTCTTGTCATGGTTCTCTCTCTACTTCTCTTTTCATAATTACATCCTCATTTTAGATATACATATGTTTTCTTGTCCTATGAAGAGACCAACTTTTGAAACAAATTTTGACCTCACTGTGTATATGTTGGACTTGCAGATCCATCACAGCAAAGAACTTCATAACAGCAATTCAACGGTACCTAGGGGATCAGGCAGATGGATCGCCAATGCTAAGCGGGATGGTGACATGTAGAAGAGACGACAGCCTTAAGGAAGTGATAACGAAGTTGGACTCCTTGAAGATCCATAGGATATATGTGGTGGATGATGATGAGAATCTGGAGGGTATCATCACCCTGAGAGACATTATCTCTAAGTTGGTACACGAACCTCGCGGTTACTTCGGAGATTTCTTTGATGGTGTCTTGCCTCTGCCTGCCAACACCAGGGTCTGATATTATATACTCCCTGTCCATGTACATCCAACTCTGACCATTCTGCTGATCTCTCCAATACTTTTCCTAATCAACAGTTGGATTTTTTAAATTTTCCACTTTGAGTCTGATTTCCATTTCTGTTCCTGTTCTAATTACAGGCGAGGCAGGTTCCGTTGTAATTAGTGTTTGCATAGATAATCATCTTGTATTTTGGAACTCTTTTTCCATTGTTCGTCTTCATATTAATAATTTCACTTCACTCTGGTCGGTTAAATATGTATTTCATCGATGTTCAGTGCAAATGTAAGAATACGAAATGAAATATAGATGGTGCTTCTCATTATCTTTGTGCTTATTACTCGTTTTTAATTTAGATAGCAAATATTCATAAAGGAAAAATCAAAGGGAAAAGCACGGAAAAGGTATTTCATTTCGAGTAATACAGTATCCAAATTAAAAAATTTACTCGTTTCAAACAAATCTGAAAAATCCAAATGCGAAGGTGGTTTGGAGGTCATCTTGTCGAGGCGCACCTTTTGGTATTTTTCTTTTAATTTTTCGACCACTTTTAAAAATCAGAGTTACTTTTAACGGTCTTTTTCAAACCTTTTTAATGACGTGATCCTCTTGTGATAATGGAATTCAAACACATGAACTACTTTGATAAAGAATAGGCATGGACTCGGGCCGGGTCAGGCCCGGGCCTAGGCCCGATCGGGCTGCCGGTTTGTAACTCATGGACCCGGGATCGGCCTGAGGTTTGGATGGGTCCGGTTCGGGCCGGGCCACCCACCCGAGTCACAGGTTCGGGCCACCCGCCGGGTCGGGCCGGGCCGGTTAAAACCAATTTTTTTTATAATTTATACTACGTACTTTATAGTTTTATACAAGTATTAAAAACAAACTTCAAGTGCATACAATACGAAATATATTTTGTAAATTGTAATCAATCGGAACTTCTCGCACCTCCTTATCCTTTGGCTTTATCACATGACTTAATATGCTTCATTGTCATCCCTTGTCTGCCTAAAAACCCCATGCTACACTTTTTCCCGCACCATTTGCAAGTTGCGTACCACATCCCGGTCATCGGGTCCTTCTGCTTATCAAAATTATACCGTATAAGTGGTATAACGGCATATTGACTTTCCATCTTAAAAATGGTAGATATAATAATTCTACAATAGATGGAGATGGAGATGGAGAATGGAGATTAGAGATTGGATGTTGGAGAAGATGTGTATAAAAATGATAGAAAATAAGAGTATTTATAGAAAAATGTTTAAGATTATGAGTATTTATAGTTTTTTTTACCCTCCAATCCCCTCCCACCCCGGACCCCTTGCAGCCCACCCAACAGTCATCTTTGGCCCAAAAGATTTTTTTTTTAAATGTAGCCGTTGTGACCCGGACCCGGGCCCGACCCGGCCGGTCCGGGTCACATTTTCCATGAACCGAGCCCGCCCCCGCTTCCCCCCACCAGTTCGGGTCCACACCCGGTCCCGGGCCCGCACTGTAACGGGCCGGGCAGGGTCACGGGCCGGGTGGCCCGAACCGAATCCATCCCTAATAAAGAATGAAACACATGACCCTATCTCAAAACGGGTCCAACCACAAGTGCTTTTTCCGTACTTTTCCCAAAATCAAATGTGACCTATTAATGTACTAAATAATTATTCCATATAAATAGTTTATAAAATTTGTCTCATACCTCGTATTAAAATAATTTTAAAATTTTCCTAGTGCTCTAGCCAATTAAATATGTTGGTGATGAAAGTCATGTACGGCAAATATCAAACTAAAATTAAAAATGATGTAATTATATAAACTGAGGATAATATTATTTATTTCACATGTCAAAGTTTAGAATGTAAGCTGCATCCTCGTTAAAAGTTTAAAGTATTTTAAATTACGTACTTTATCCCAATAAATTTACTTTTGTGGGAGAAAAAACATATGTTGATGGTGCTATATAACGTTTTTATATAGAATTTGGGGTTTTTATATTACATATGCAAATTATTACATATGGAATCAATTAAATTTAGGTGTTTAAAATTATTCTCCATTTAACTTAATTTAATTATTTATTATTATATTTATTCATTATTATATTTATTCATTACTACTTTCGTGTAGTAAAACTTTGTCATCTTTGACTTTTCTGTTTTCAAATAAATGGTGATAAAACTCGGACCATGATTTTGATTAGTATAGAATAATACTATGAAAGTTATAAATTTTATATTTTTATTATAGTATTTTTATCAAAGACTATTTTCTTATCATTTTTATATTGTAAACATTTTTCTATAAAAATACATACTTAGTGAAAGTTGAACATGACTGATCAAAGTATATAGAGGCAAGGTTTTGGGTGTCCACTAATTTTGCCAATTTTTTTTATTATCTCTAACTTTGTCACTTTTTATTTCAAATAAAAAAATTGTGATTCTTGTTTATTTTCTCTTCTACATGCATCACTACGACAAATTTTTATATTATTATTGTACTTGCTAGAAAGTTATTCCTCTCGTTCCACTAATATTGTCTCATATTTCATTTTTGGTTCGCTTCAGTAAGATTATCTCGTATATAGTACCAAATTTGATAAAGTTTATATGGTTCTACACTTCTTACTATATCAATGCCAACTAAGAAAATTTACTTTTTTTCAAAAATTATTTTGAATCCATACATAAAAATATCATAACAAAAAAAAATCTTAAATGAATAAAAAAAATTGGTATAGTTAACTTAAGTTCAAGAACAATTTTGTTCCGTGCTTTTCCACTAGTGGTCTGATATAGAAAAATCAAGAACAAGCCGAATATATATTGATCCTAAAAGATGGAATCTCCCACTCCCAGGAGCCCCCATCCCGAATCGACAGGATGGTGAGGAGATTAGTCACGGTGACTCAGCATAATGAGAGTAGACCCATACATCCGTGTGCACCAGAGGTTCAACCTTATTTTAGGTTCTGTGATCTCCATCTGATCGCTGCAGGGATTCGAACCTTGATCTATTGATCCAAATCTCTCACCACTCAACCAATAAGCCGAATATGTGTGTGTGGAGTATATAATAACTACGCTCTCTAGCTAGTCCAATACTCCAATGTACAAGCTGATAAAAGTAAAACAAGCATAGTGAAATCGTTGTAATTTGCAGGTCATTTTTTTCGAAGCACTTTAAGGACCAGTTAATCATTGCGATTAACACCCAATTAGGATTATTACTTTATTTGTAATTGACCAGTGATACCAAATTCAGAAGTCTTATATTAAATTAATAATTAACAAAATTTCAGAATTTACAGAAAGTCAAAAACTAAGCTAGATTTTCTATTTGCACATATAAACCACCAAACTAGATCTACTAATTCGATAATGAAATGGGGTTTCTTAAAAAATATTACTAAAATAAAATGTATTTACACAAATATGACTAATAGTTACTACAATGTGGTATGATGGTAATTTAAGTTTAAAATTTGAACATAAGTCATTATGATTTTATTACTAGTGTAAGTCTGTAATCAGTAATCACATTTTTATAAAGAATACTCATTTTAATCATAATTATGTAATTAATTATTTTCAATGAAATTCACGAAATTCATATCTATTCTTTTATATAGTAGAGTTGAGTTTTAAAATGTTGATGTGTCATCATTTAATTGGTTAACAATTATATAATTTAACATCACTTTTTAATTAATTAATTATTTAACAATTCATTCGGTAGAGAGAAACAATCTCTATCATTTATCATAGAACTATTTTATAGCAAGCAGTTGTTCGTTTATAGGGCTTAATCAATTGGAATTGGTTTTAGACTCTTCCATAAAGCTAACTTAATCAATTCGTTAGGTTATTTTACTGAAATTAATTTTGAGAGTATCTTAGATAGCAACTACTTAAATTATTTAACTTAACTCTTTCGAATAGTAAATACTCCATTTATCTCTTATAATTTTGTCAAGTTTGATCGGCATGAAAAATAATATACTCCGTAGTAAAAATTGTTCGGTTGAAGTTTGTACGTACCCGCCCGCTCTGATAGTAAAATCTAAATATGAATCACAAAACATTTAACTTCTAAATATAACTTCTAGAATAAATCACCAGCATTCAACATCTAAGTTTAAGAACAATAATGTATACATGTGACATAATGAAAATAGATTTTTTTTCCTAAAATGTTACTAATAAAAATATATGGACATAAATGTGACTATAAGTTACCATGGATAAGTTTTATAATCACTACGATATAACATTTGAATAAAATTATAAACACTAAAGTTACTAGAGTCGCAATTTTTTCCACAACTTTTATTTTGATTATAGATTTAGAATTATTTCCAAAAAATGTACTTCTAATACTATGATTTAGGTATTCTTGTAGTTACTGTCTTAGAACCCTCATAATTTAAATTTAAAACTTGATATATACCAATCAAAATTAATCTAATCATCCAATACACCTCTACAAAATGATTAGCAATTACATAAATTAAAGCAATCTAGAACAATGTTTCCCAATATTTGGACTTTAAACTCATATGTGAGCTTTATGAAAGTTATTAGGTGAAATATTAAGAGAGTTACAATGTGAAAATTGTGTACAGAATATCACGAAAATCAAATAATCAATATGTGAAGAAAATAAATCTTGTAGAAGTTAACAAAGGAAGGATGATGAATGATATTGAAAATTAAAAAACTAAAATAGTGAACTTTGAGAACCAACTCCTCAGAATTGTAAAGGATAGCCGATTAGTTGAATATTTTTCAAAAAATTAGAGGGAATAAGTGTCATACACTAATGTATTACGGAGTACTATTTAGGAAAAGGTGCAAATAGGCCCATGTACTAACCAAAAAAGGTCAAATAAGCCCTTATTTAGGAGGCTCTGTCCGGCCGTCGTCATTTGGAGTGGTTCCTGGTGGAATTTTTTGATGAACTTTTTTGAGAATCTTATTCATCAAGTCTAGTTTACTCATACCAAATTTCAGCTAAAACTTAAATCGGGAAGGCATTCAAATGAATTCTTGAAGATAACTGCGATTCTAACTGCGCATTTATTTTCAAGAATTCATTTCAATGCCGTCCCCAATTAATTTTTAGCTGCAATTTGGTATGAGTAAATTAGACTTGATGAATAAGATGCTCAAAAAATTTCATCAAAAAAATCCACTGGGAACCACCCCAAATGGCGATGACCGTACAAAGCCTCCTAAATAAGGGCTTATTTGACCTTTTTTGATTAGTACATGGGCCTATTTGCACCTTTTTCCTACTATTTATATATACTTAACATATTAAATAATAAATACATAAACTATTAAAATAGGTAAGTTAATTGTGCGGGTCGAGTAATGGTGCGGGTAACCGTGTCCAAATTAAATGGGATGGGTAACGGGATGAGTAGGAATAAACTCATAACCGTCTCATTGCCCGTTTACATGATTCGGGTATTCCTCGCCCCGTATCCGTTACCCAGTCAAAACGGTTTTCGCCATTTTGACCGGTTCGATTTGGTGCGGGTAATCGGGTATCCATCGGGTCGGGTTAAATTGTCATCCCTGATACTTGCCCAAAGAGTTCCTAGCATCATTACACTTCGTTAGACATATTATAAATAGTAAGAATATAAATCTTACCTAATATTTTAGAACCCGTTTTATAACACTGGAATCGACTGAATCAGCTGATTCTGTTGAAATTTATGATATTCTTGTTGAAGTGATTGTATTGACTGATTCTGCTGATTTATGAAAAAATTGTATTTAAAATATATTTTATTAATAAAATAGAGGGGGAAAATTAAATGGAAAAAAGCTAAAACATCATCACAATAAATTCAGCCAATACAACCATAAAAGTAACTTCAATCTTACTACATCCGTCCCTTAAAACTTTGTCAAAGTTGACCGGCACGGAGAATAATAAAGTAAAAACTGTGTGGTTGAGGTTTGTGCAGATGAGAGAGAAATAACAGAAACCACAAAATAATTAATTAAAAGGGAAAGTGACAAAGTTTTTTGGGACGTTCCAAAAAGGAAAGATGACAAAGTTTTAAGGGACGAAGGGAGTACTTTTTTATATCATTATACAGGTCAGCGCACCAAATCAAAAATTACGTGTTTGGTTAAAAAGTTGACTGATGAACCGAAAAAACAAAACACGAAAGTGCAACATAGCCACCACGGGGCACATCAGACCGCATCGGGACCGCTATTTTGTAAAACTAATTCACAATGCATCAGCCAGAAATTATGAAGCACGGATACTTCCCTAGGGTAGCGTATCGGCGTATCGGATACGTTCCCGTATCCGATACTCTAGGATACCCGTACCGTACGTTCCCGGGCCGTATCTGTAATTTTTAAAAGTTTCCATTTTTTTTGTAATTTTTTGAAAGTTTCCGATACTCGTATCCTGACGGATACCCGTATCATTGGCAGTTTTTTTGGAAGATGATATTATTCCTGGAAATTAATACTTCCAGTGAAAATATGTATTAGATGTTAGAGCTTTTAAAATATTGTTTTCTATCTTAATTATTCTATAACTTTGGTACTTGCACTTTTAATTTCAAGATTGTAGTTGATTGACTTATTTCTCATTTTAAATTAATGACTTATCGACTACATGTCTACATTTATATTTCGAGATGCACTACTGTATATGAGAAATATTATGATGTATATGTAATGAATGGGTATATATGTATATATAGGATATATATATATATATATCCAAAAAAATTATTATTTTTGTACATTTCATAGGATATTATATGTATATATTTCCAAAAAAAAAACTATTTTTAATATTTATAAATACACCACTGTAACTTTTAATATTTGTAAATACACCCCCATAACTTTTAATATTTAAAAATATGGCCCCGTATCCGTATCCTACTTTTTTTTGTTTTGCCGTATCCCCGTACCCGTGTCCGCGTTTCCGCGATTCCGCGTACCGGTATCGGTGCTACCTAGCCGGCCCACAATAGCCTCAACCACAATCACCCCGACTGCAATTTAAAACTTTGCTATGAATTAAAGTGTAAATATTTAGCATATGATGATGAATAATTTAATAATCATTCGACAAATACAAATTTATACTACATCCGTCCCGCAAAGAAGTTCAACTTTCCTTTTATGGATATCCCAAAAAGAAGTTTTCATTTCTATAAAAGGAAATCATTTTTAAACAAAAAGTCATAATTATCCTTACTTTTTACCAACTTTTTGTTTGATTTGATATAAAGTAAAGTATACTTGAAAAGTCAAAACAAAGGTCTATTTTACGTAAATATGTGTATATCAAACTACAATCATGCTTGATGTACACACTCTTGTACACACCTTATACACACCATGTTTGTGAAGCTTTTTTGTTGTCTGTGAATCCGGTTCACAGACAATATTTTGTTTGTGCAAAACATTGTCTGTGCATCGATGTTCACAAACAATAAAAAAAGTTTTCACAGACATAGGTGTGTATAAGAGTGTGTACAAACATCATTTTTGATCAAACTAGGAACTTTTTAAAACATCAATTAACGATAGGCGGATGTGTCTCTCGTGGGAGTCGCGGGTCTCTTAGATTTGGGATGGCTTCCATCAAATTGTTGTCGACTAGAGTAATGAAATTATGAAAATGAATACTTCCGGCAAAATGTTTGCCTCTCATTTTTCCCGCTACTTTCAGTTTCAACTCCCCTAAATCTCTAAACCCGGATGTCTCTCGACTCTGGCAAAAATCCTTCTTACCTTCAGCTTTACTGTCTTCTTATCAGTCTCTTGAACGGCCATATATGAAATCCAGAGATCTGGCGTTGATCTCTGTCGCCGGAGTGATCGGCGCCGCTGCAGTTCGTCTATTTGTCAGCCGCCGAAAATACCGCCCGCCGTCCTTCGGTGCCGACTTGGCAATTAATGGGGCACTGAAACATTCACTGAGGAGCCCATTTGATCCGTCCAAACGGGAAAGGTAAGAATATACTGGAAATGCGTTTATCAACTATTTAAAGTATTTTTCTGTATATAAATGTTGTGTATCACAAGTGCAGTTATTTGTCGTGGGATGATTATTTCATGGCTATTGCATTCCTGTCCGCAGAACGCTCCAAAGATCCCAACAGGCAGGTAACTTGTTGACTTCTTGTGTTTGTATATAGCTATTGTTCTATTAATACAATTTAATTTGTTTTTATAAAACACTAATATTGTTTCTCTTGTACTGATATTATGTACCTGCAGGTTGTATTGTTCTTCTTGTTTAATAAACTTTAAGTGTTTATTGTTTTTCTTGTATTTCTATCAATACAATAATACTAGTATTATGATTATGATATGGCTGTGTTTTCTTGTATCTAACTGAAGAGTATTACACCTGCAGATTTTCCTATCTATTTTTAATGATTTAAACGGGTGCAGCTTGCAACCTTTTGTCTTTACCACATTCTCCTGAATCTTCTTTCTTGTAATGTTTTGCAGGTTGGCGCATGTTTGGTGAGCCAAAATGGCATAATACTTGGTAAGATGCATTTGACGAATGGTTCTGCATCATAATTTAAAGCTAATGTAGTAATACTCTAACTAGACTTACCTGTTTATACTTGTCCAGAGGCACTCTTGTTACTCTATTAAAGTTTATGTGGGGTGTATAAGCATTAATAAAGGCCCTATGTTCAGATTGTGTAATTAATTGTGTCGTATGAGTATTGGGGTGTTTGGTTGGAGGGTTTTGAAAGGGAGAATTGATGTTTGTTTTACAAGTACGGAGTATATTTTTATCTGTCTCAGACTAGAAAATAACAATACATTTAGTTAACTAAGATATTTGTTTACAAGTTCTGATCTTCCCTTCATTTCAACCAACTAGATCACAAATATCACTACTGTTGTTAGCTCCCCTCCAAAATCTCCCAACTAGACATAGGCTTAATATGCACCATTACCAGCAATATCTTATATGATTATATCTAAGCCCATTTTTTTTAGCCAGGCATTGGTTACAATGGATTTCCACGTGGTTGCTCAGATGATAAACTTCCTTGGGCTAAGGTTCATTTTATTACTTACATAAGGAACTTGTGATTTATCAACATCCATACCATTTCTGTCTAGTATTCTAACACATCAATAATTTTTTTAGAAATCCAAAACTGGAAATCCCTTGGAGACAAAGTACCCGTGAGTAACATCTATCCAAAAAATACTTCATCTGATGTTCACATAATTACATCATAAATAATAAATAAACACTTAACATGCTTTTCTGAAAACTCTCTTAAACACCACCCTGCACCAACCCCCCAAATAGAAAAGATAAAATTTGATTTACTGTAGCTTGATTTTGTAGTTATGTCTGTCATGCTGAAGTTAATGCTATCCTGAATACAAATCACGCCTCAGCTGCAGGGCAGGTTAGCTTTAGTATTTTGATCTATGCACCCTTCATTTTCTTTGGTCCCTCTGTTTTCAAATTGTCAATCCTGACTATAATGGCTCTTTTTTTTTATGATTTGAACTGTTGCTTAACGTCATGTTTTGGCAATGTAATAATGCAGAGGCTCTATGTCACCATGTTCCCTTGCAATGAATGTGCAAAGATAATTATCCAGGTTATTCAATCATCATGTCCTTAACCCCATTTCTTTAAGTTGGTGGCAATGTGGCATGAAATATATGGTTTCATTTATTTGTCAAAGGATAGACAATACCATAAGTCATGCAAAAATTGTGACACAAATTCTTGTAATTGCAGTCTGGTGTTTCCGAGGTTGTTTATTTTGTGGAGAAAGGGTTGGAAAGTTGTGATACAACCTATATTGCTTCTCACAAACTTTTATCGATGGCGGGCATCAACGTAAGTGTATTACTGTATTGTGTTAGAGTATGTGAGTATGTGAGTAGGGGTTAAAAGATGATCACATGTCGAACTTTTAGACACTTTTTTTGTGTGTATACCTCATGTGAATGTCTCCGTTGTCACACTGTAAAATATGAATCAATAAACAACTATATAAAATTTCAGACTTCTCCTCCTTTGAACTTTTAGGATGGGATTATATCATCTTGATATCAGGTTAACTGTTGAGGATCCTTTTGTATATATATTTGAAAGTTAATTATCTACGAAACTACAATGAGTGGTGCATATAGTGTCATGGAAATGTGGTAACGAGGATATGAATGTTGTTTTAAATACGTAAAAAGAAGTCATAATGTGATATGAGAGATGTAAAAGTGTACATCCTTTCTTGCTTTTAATGTTAGTATTATTATTTTTGTCTTACAATTTGCTTTCATTACATTTATAGGTAAGGCGGCATGCTCCGCGAATGAAGGAGATCTCAATTAAGTTTGATGAGTTATAGTCCTCCCTCTTGTAATTGTGACCATTACTAGAGCTGCCAAACACGCCTAGACAATCCATTCCTTAGATATTATTAGCCATTATTAGCCCTTTTAAGTACGTGCATGTTATGTTGTGAAACACTATTGTGCTTGATAATAAAAATGTACTAGCATGTGATTGGATCTTGTGATCGAGTTTTGTACTAGCAAAGCGTAAGCATGCTGAATGGTTGTGATTTAAGCAGTAGCACAATATTTCGAAATAAGCGTCACCTCTAGGTAGCCTGCTTTTACACTTCCTAATACTTTTAGTAAAATTGCCTTAAATAAGAGTAAAAATGTTTGAGAATTTCAAAAATAGGAGTGTTATGTTTTTGTTTTCTAAATAGGGGTAAACGATTGAAAATATTGTCACAATAGGAGTAAATGGGACTGGACCAATACAAAAAATATTTTTGAAAAAAAATTACCCATAATTTTTTACACTGAAAATAAACACATTTTTTTAATTTGGGGTTGAGCAGATGCCTAGATTGGCCCTCCCCTAGCTCCGCCCATTGTCATATTTATAACGTGATAATGCCAAAACATAATAATAAATTTCCATGATTTCAGGATTTTTCCTAGTTTTACTATGAGGCCATTTGGTAATACTCTTATCAGGCTTATCAGCTAATTTTTTCACCAAACATATAACTTTTGTTTCCGCGCGTTGAATTATGTAATAAGCAGAAAAAGCAAGTTTGTAGTTATTTTTTGGCTTTATTGGCTGAAGTTACTGTAGATGATCATTTTAGCTATTTTTACATATAATTTTTTCCTTATTTTATTAATAAAATATATTTTAAAATTAATTTTTTCTTATCAGCAGAATCAGCCAATGCACCTACTTCAGCCAGAATTTCATAAATTTCAGCAGAATAAGTCAAATTAGCCGATTTTCGTACTTTACCAAAGGGCTCTATGTAATTCGTAGTGCTCCGTATTAGTTTTATAATATCACATTCATAGTTTAAAGGTGAGGGCACCTATTTAAAATATCTAAAAATGGTTTTGGGAGGGAATAGTATTTGAATGCCTCAAATGTTGGAGAGTTGCGAGTGAAATACCCTAATGTTAGCATAATGTGATTAGGGTAATAAGATTTGTGAAAAATAATACGCAACTCATGATGCTATCCGGATTATGAGTAATTGAACATTTGTTTTTTTTCACATGCAACTTTGAATTATGAATTATGGTTTATTTTGATGAATTATGGAATCGAGATAGGGGAAACCTATGTTTAAAAAACCGGACCGGGAAGCACCCCAGCCACCTGACTAGGTCACGGGTCAACCCGGACCCGGTGATTCAACCCGGTCAACGCAGGAAAACTGGTCAACGATTATATGTCCATATAATAATAATAAACATATAATTATATACAAAATTATACTCTCTCCGTCCCGGTCATTTATTACAACTTTCCTTTTTGGGTCGTCTCAATTAATTCTTCTAACTTCTGCTTTTGGAAAAAATATGTGGTTCACATTCATTCACTTTTTTCTTACACAACTACAATCATACATTTTCACTTTATTATCACTTTCTAAATTTGCAAGCCAAGTCAAACTTGGAAGAAATGACCAGGACGGAGAGAGTAATAAAAAGTAGTTATTAATCATAATAATCAACTACGGATAATACTATGTTCTTATTAAGCATTTAGTACACTCTCATAATATTCCAAAGTATAATTTGGTCCTATTAAAATATATAATGATATTTTTTATTTGTATTGTACATATATAATATAATTTGGCATGATTTTTATTCCTAAATAAACATATAAATATATACATAGTTTATCTTTTTACGATATTGAAATTGCAATTTTATTGGTTTAAAAAATGCATTAAAATTTGTTGGGATACATTAAAAAATCCATCTTGATGAGGCGCACCTTTCAATATTTTTCTTTTAATTTTTCGGGCACTTCTGAAAATCAGAGTTATTTTTAACAGTCTTTTTCAGACGTTTTTAACGGCGTGACCCTGTTGTGATAACGAAATTCAAACACATGAACTACTTTGATAAAAAATGAAACACATGACCCTATCTGAAAATGGGCCCAACCACAAGTACATTTTCCGTACTTTTCCTAAAATAAAACATAATAATAGTAGAGCACGTGAATAGTGTACAATTTCTAATGTTACAATTATTTAAGAACGGAAATAATATATATGGTCGTATGAATGGTAAATGACTTTTATGTGCGTGTCTGGATGGGTCAAACAACTCCATTACAAAATTGCAAAATCAATTGTTACGTGTCATTTTCTTCGGATCGAAATTTGGTGTCGTTAACATCATCTCCAATGTCATCGTGACATTTGTGCAATTAAGTAGTCAAAATGATGTGCTATTCCCACTGTATGCAATTAGATTAATTTTGTGCCTGGATGGACCAAACAACTCAATTGCAAAATCAATTGAGCACCGCAATTGCTTTAGGAGGGAAAATTGTAAAATCAATCGGCCACCCAAATTGCGTTATATAATATAAAGATTATGTACATACACCCAATTTTCTCTTAATAAAAACTTATTAAAAAAATAAATCTCTATAAAATGGTTGTAGATGAGAAATACGGCGCAATTACTACAATCCCTTAATTGAATCAGATATCACGTTTTTAAACGAGCTAGTCAACAACTATAATGTTGTTAGGATCAAGAAAATCCATATAAATTAGGATCTAGAATGTCGAGATCAGGACAAATCCCAAGTAATCTTAGATGACATTTGAATATAAATGACTAATTTAGATTAAATAAAATGAAAAAAACCTTACATGTATACATGTTGGGTCAAAATGTCAGGATTCTAACATTTTAAAAAAATCTCAACCCGCGATATGCAATATAAATTGGTAAATCGTACATGAATGGGTTGGGAAGGGTCGTGTATTGAAAAAGAAAACCACTTTGAATTGGATCTTTAATGTGGACAACTAATGCAACCGATTTTAATCTCGGTTGATTTGTTTCCAAAATACAAAAAAAAAATACATGTACCTCTTATAAGCATAAACTTTGGGTAATGGTACCAAAACATCTTTGCATAAAGGAAGTTAATTAAGAAACAAAAGTAAATGCTTCTTGTATAATAAGCACCTAGTCAAAATGACAAATGTTTATAATTCCAATATCATAAAGTCTTAGATGGAGATCATTGATCTTATATAGAATTATCCAACAAAACATTGTAGCATAATAATAGCAAAATTCATTCCGATGTATAAATAATAATAATAATAATCTATCTTAATATAATAGCAAAAGGTTTCTTGGGGCACAAGTTTCTGCCAAAACTGCATGGACCAAGGCTTGCGGTTGAAGATTCTAGGCAAGTGCGTTATTATTATATTTTGTGTGTGACATGGATTCAAAAGAAATTGTGATGATTTAATATTATTGTGTGCGGCAATGGACTTCGTGCTTTGTAGTCTGCCATTAATTTCCAGCTTTTGGTTCCTCGGTGGTTTATCCACCTTTACATATTCTACCACTCATACTCATACTCTTTTTCACATGCTATTGTTTTGAATTGGGAACCATCTAGATAAAATACAAAGTATATATCAACATCAATATTTAATGCTCTTAGTCTGTCGCTTCAAACTTAGCTTACAATTCTCAATGTAAGATGATTTTTCTTCTCACCTGACACCACCCATTAGATTCACTTTAGCGTTGTAGCGTTATTTGAGACTTCCAAGCAGGGCCGGTCCTGAGGAAATGAAGGCCCTGTGCAAAAAAAATAATTGGACCTTCTTTTCCAAGTTTCAACACAAGTTAAAAAAACCGAACCGAAACCCCACCGACTCAAACGGGACGCGAAAGTCGGAACTCGAACATAAATCGGTTTAATGAAGGTTTTTTGAGTTATAAAATCGGTTCAAACCGAACCGAACCGATTTTTATTAAGAGGTATTTTAATTATTTATTTTGTAGAACAAATAGGTAATATAAAACTTGTACGTCCGTATTTCAAGAATTAGTTGATTTGGTCCGGCGGTTGATGTTTAGAAATCAGCGTGCATGCTTTTATTTTCACATGGGTTTAAATCCCGCATGCCTCGCTTCTTTTCTTTTTTGTTTCTAAAGCTTAAGATTCCCACACCGGTGGAAACGGAGAATTTATCACTCCTTCGTTCCTATATACACGCTCCTCCTTTGCATATGAGGAATACGCGAAGTGATGAACCAGGCTTGCTTCAAAGCCTTGCCCTAGTCCACCTAAGTAATAATACTCCCTCCATCCCGCTAACATTGGGACAAAAGGGAGTGACACACAAATTAATAAAAAGTTGTTTATGTGGTTGATATTGAATTGGTAAAGTAAGAAAAAAGTAAGAATGATTTAGAGCCACACAAACTTTACCAAGTTTGGTATGAGACAATATTAATGAGACGAACCGATAAGGTAAAATGGGACAATCATAGTGGGACGGAGGTAGTAGAGTATACTACTACAAAACAAAATTGGGCCCTTCCAATTTTTTGGGCCATGTGCGGTTGGACACCCTGCACACCACCAGGGCCGGCCCTGCTTCCAAGCTAAGTTTTCTTCGCCTTTTTGTTTTCCAGTTTGTGTATGTCTTCTGTATATAGACACCTAATTCATGGATTTCCATCACAAATGTTGTCACAACCGACGAAAGTACTCATTTTTGTAGTGCAGATTTTGTCATTTTGTCATAGTTGAAATGTAGTGCTTGATCAAGGATATCAATTACCACTCCAAATAAATAAAGTTGCACGTGTGCACAACGTTGTAGCACATTGTAAGTTTAGGGCATCATGTAAATCAGTCTTCTATGAAATTCATATTTTCACGACGACGAGGTAACATGCAAAATATTCATGGGTTATTGGTAATTCATTTATGTATCAAGTTACAAATTTTAACTACCTTCTAAAAGGGTGAGTTCACCCTCATTAAGAACCGTATATATCCGAGTTTCAATTTAAACGGAAACTGCTAAAATAACTCTTCTTAAATATACACAAGTTATACTGAGTATCATTTTTTGGACGAAATAGATTATAAAGTACTCCGTATTAAAATATAAAAACATTGTGAATAGTTCTGAATCTTCTGCTAAAGGTACATGATTGTGAACATCTTAAATAAAGATGCTTTGTTACGAGATGTTGAATACTCATAAACCTGATTTATCTTACATATAAATTTGCTATTCAACATTAAAATATATCTGTAAATGCTTTTTCTCA